AAAGGAATATTGACAATTGATTGCTGCTAGATGAGGAACAGCTGATCTTTCCAAAACAAAGCTCTCTAGATAGCCTGACTAGATTCAGCAGATGGACAAGTACTGGGAATGGCTGTGGGTCCCTACAACACAGTGGACAGTAACAGGGATGACAGAGTATATGGGCTCCAGTGTGTGGGAGCAGGGAGGCTATGGGAGGATGCTATTTGGGAAGTGGGTATATAGATGAATAAGATTATGTGGGATGTTCTGTATGATATCCACACAAATCAACAAATTAAAAAAAGACATATTTGAGAAGGAAAGAAAAATTTACTTCATGTTAAATAGTAGAGGTGATAAACATTACCAGTGAAATCTACCTGATGACTTTATATCCATACTCAGGTACTAAGGATCTGAGTATAAGCAACTGTGACTAGTAATAATCAGATACATAGCAATTAAAGACACATGTGCAAACATCTTAGCATTAAAAATGTAGGGAAGAGCATATTTTAAAATGAAATGGTGATCTTCTTTAAAGGGGTAAAAACTCATTAAATTTTATGTTCTTACAGGGTCTATACTGAGTTCAATATTGTATAACTGTATTAACTCAACTGTGAACCTAAAAATTTACAACTACTTTAGAAAGAGCTGTATCCTTGCTCTGGAATGTGTTACTGAACATGTTAAAGCTGTAATGCAATGTTTCTTCTAATCATGTGGTTATTAAATTAAAAAATTATAAAAAAAGACCATGTATGAGGGCTGGAGAGAAGGCTCAGCAGTTAAGAACACTGGTTTTTCTTGCAGAAGACCTGGGTTTGAATCCCTGAACCCACATGGCAGCTAACAACTGTCTGTAACTCCAGTTCCAGGGGATCCGACAACATTTTCTGACCTCCGTGGACACTGCATGACACGGGTGCACTTACCTACATGCAGGCAATACACGCATATACATAAAATTTAAAAAAATTAAAAAAAAATTTAAAAAGATGAGCAAGTTCGCTTGCTATTGTTATACACACACATTTTAAAAAAGATCATGTATGGGCTCGATTCCTAGCACTATATAAAACCTGTCATGGTGGCACATGCCTGTAAGCTCAGCATTCTCAGGAGGTGAAGGCAGAAGAATGGTCAGATGTTCAAGGTCATCCTCAGGTACATAGGGAGCTCAAGGTCATCCTGAGCTAGAGACCCTCTAATAAAGCAGTCTAAATTAAAATAAAACAGTAAAATAAAAATGACCACCATTTAGTCTCAGATTGCCAAATACATGCCATGAGGTATGGAAATGAAAGGAATGAAAGCATAGCATCTGGACCCTCCTATCTCTATAACCCCTCGCGGAAAGGACAAGCAGGGAACTGGAGATCTTAGTAAAGAACCTGAAAAGAGGTTCTGTCACAAGCCTTTCTGGTCATGAGGTGCAACATTAGGAGAAGAAATGGGTTGTTCAGTATTTTAGAAACAGTATGATCCTGTGTTTAAAGTCCATCCCAAAATGAGTACTTACAGCAGTTTTATATGCAGCTTCAATATAAAACACAAGGTTCTGTATAAAATTGACTTCATCTAGGCTGTGGATGATGTGGAGTCCTGAGGGAAAAGATCAAGAGTTGGTCAGTTACCATTGCAGGGTTCCAGAAATGGAGGTGACTTCAGGGGACTAAGCTTAAATCTCCTTCAATTGCTTTACCTGTCTAGCATTAACAGCATGTCTTTCTTCCCCATCATGTTTAAAAGCAATTTTATTAAGATTTTCATATCATATAACTCATCTATCCCAAACAAACAATACAATGATTTTTGGTGCCTGTACAGTTTACAATCACTATAATCAATTTTAGAACATTTGGGGCTGGAGAGATGGCTCAGCAATTAAGAACACTGAATGTTCTTGCAGAAGATCTGGGTTCGAATCCCAGCACCCACATGGCAGTTAACAACTGTCCATAACTCCAGTTCCAGGGAATCCGACAGCCTCTTCTGTCCTCCGCGGGCATTTCACGACATGGATGCACTTACATACATGCAGGCAATATATGCATACACATAAAATAAAAATAAAAATATATTTAAAAAAATTTTAGAACATTTTCATCACCACAAAGGAACTTGTCCTCATTAATGGTTACTTCATTTCCCTTCAATACTTGCCTCCGAGCCAATGGAATCATTTAGTTAATCTTCTGTTTCTATAGTTTAACTCTAATGGGTGTTTATATAAATGGAATTATATATAGCATGTAGACTTTTGTCTGTGTTGTGCTGTAGGATGTATCAGTACTTATTTCTCTATTGACAAAAAAATTCAATAGATGAGTGCATCATCTCTTACTTATCCAATCATCGGTTGATAAAAATTGGGTTACTTCTACTTTTTGGCTATTGTAAATGTTGCTGCTATAAATATCCACGCATATATTTTTTGATGTGAATGTTTCCATTTCTCATGAATACATCCTTAGGAGTGAAACTGCTGGATCATATGGTAATTCTACGTTTAAACTTTTGAGACATCACTAGATTGGTCTCCAAAGGGGGTGTATCATTTTACATTTCTTTTTAAAATTTTTCAATTTTATTTATTTATTTATTTATTCATTTATTTATTTGTGTGTGCGTGCGTGCATGTGCACCCTGTGCCTGTGCATGCCATGACACATGTGAAGATCAGAGGACAATTTGTGGGGAATTGTTTCTCTCCTTCCACTATACCATCTTGCAGGCCTTAATTTTTTCATCTCTAACAGCAGTAGGTGAAGGTTTTATTTTCTCCATTTTCTCAGCAACACTTGCTATTATCTGTCTGCTTGATTACAGAGATTCTAGAGTGGATGAAGAACTGTCTCATGGTGATTCACATCTGCACTTCTCTAGTGATTAATGATGCACAGCATCTTTTCATGTTCTTAGTGATGATTTAAAAATCACCATTACAGGAAAGTCAATTGAGGTACTTTGGACATTTTTAATTAGGGTATTATTTTACTTCCTTTCTCTTTTTTTTAAAGATAAGGTTTCCCTCTAGCCTTGAACTTGACATCCTCCCAAGTACTGCGTTTATAGGCATGCACCACCATACCTGTTAATCTTCTAAATAATGAATTGTGAGAGTTCTTTATTATTGATACAAATACCTTATCAGATATATGATTTATAACCATTATACACACACACACACACACACACACACACACACACTTGTTTTGTTTTATGAGACAGGGTCTTAATGTAGCCCAAACCAGCACAGAATTTGCTATTTAGCTGTCAATGACCTTCAACACTGGATCCTCCTACCTCTACCTTGCAAGTGCTCATATCACAGGTGGACACTAAGACTACACCTAGATTCTCTTTTACTTTCTTAAATGGGTCCTTTAAAACACCAAAGTTCTTAATTTTGATAAATTTCAATATCACTCTTTTAAAGTTATTTATGCTTTTGGTATTATATCTTTCCCTCCTTTCCTTTTTTGTGTGTTTTTAAAAAAATATTTTATGTGTTATTTTTATTTTATGTGTATGAGTGTATTGCCTGCATGTATGTAAGTACACCCGTGTCATGCAAAGCCCACAGAGGTCAGAAGAGGGCATCGGATCCCCTAGAACTGGAATTAGGATGATTGTTAACCACCATGTGAGTGCTGGAGCAAGAGCAGTTGGTGCTCTTAACTGGTGAGCCATGTCTCCAGCCCTTTTTTGTGATTTTTTTTGTCTTTTTACTTGTTTGCTTGTTTTTTTTTGTTTGTTTGGTTGGTTTTTTTTTTTTGAGACAGGGTCTCCCTATCGCCCCAGCTGTCTTGGAACTCATTAAATAGACCAGGCTGGCCTCAAACTCAGAGATCCACCTGCCTCTGCCTCTCAAGTGCTGGGACTAAAGGTGTGCAGCACCATGCCTGGCTTGTGTGATTTTAAAAACATGTTTTGTTTGTTTATTTGTACTTTATGTGCATAAATGTCTTGCTTGCATATATGTAAGTACACCCGTGGTCATGCAATGCCCACAGAGGTCAGAAGATGGTGTCAGATGTGCTGGAAATGGAGTTACTGAAGGTTGTTAGCTGCCATGTGGTGCTGGGAACCAAACCCCGATCTTCTGCAAGAATAGTCAGTACTCTTAAGCGCTGAGCCATATCTCCAGCCACCCCCTTTTGTTTTTGAGACAGGGTTGCATTTAGCATAGGCTGGCCTTGAACTCCCAATTCTCTTGTCTCTACCTCTCAAGTCCTGGGATTACAGGTGCTAACATACACTCTTTCTCTGTCTCCCTCTTTCCATCCCTTCCTCAGTCCCCCTTTGCTTCTTACTTTTCTCCCTTTTCTCTTTCCCTCTCCCCCTTTACTTCCTTTGATAAAGTTTATTTATTTATTTATTTATTTATTTATTTATTTATTTTCATTTTATGTGTATGAGTGTCTTGGCATGTACGCAAGTGTACCAATGTCATGCAAAGCCCGAGGAGGCCAAAAGAGGATGTCAGATCCCCTGGAACTGGAGTTATGGACAATTGTTAGCTGCCATGTGGGTGCTTGGAATCAAACCTGGGTCCTCTGCAATAGCAGACGGTGCTCTTAACTGCTGAGTCATCTCTCCAGCTCCTCCCCCTTTTTTTTCTGAGGGTCTTGCTACATACCCCAGGGTGGCCTTTAATTCACATTCATGACCCTTAAGATTCTGCCTCCTGAGTGCTGGTTATATCTGGTTGTATTTTTTTGTTGTTGTTGCTTTGTATGTCTCTTAATTTTCTGATTGAAAACTGGGCTTTTGTAGAGTATGTTGTGAGAACTTTAGATCCTGATACCTTCTTCTCTGGGGCTTATTTTTGTTGGTTTAGTGATTTGACTGGACTATTTCAGTAAAGAGTATTTTTCCCCATAATATACAGCCTTTGATAGTCCTTAGAGGACACAACCATGGGGACTGTCACCCTGGGAAGACATTGTTGGGGAGAGGAGCTCATTAACTATTTTCTAGATCTGTTAGATGTCTGACTCTGTTGATATCAAGCTAAGCTTCTCCCCACCACTAATTTCAATTGACTGCTTTGTTATTTTGTAGAATCCCCAAGCATAAATTTCTGCATAATTTTAAGCAATTAAATTCAGGCCCTTTTTAGGTGTGTTTTTTGAGTCAAGTCTTTGAAACTTTTTCCAACACCTAGGCGGACTCTTCTGCTGTTTTCCTTTGGTTCTGTTAAGATGTGTAGGGAGTCTATGTTTTAGCTTCTTGCTGTTACTGAGCAACTAGCCTCATCTGAAGTACTTAAAATCAAAGTCTGTATTGAATTTTCTCACACTTTGGTCCAAAAGTTAGTTCTCTTGAGGAGCTTTGTTTACGGTTTGCCTCTTCCCACCAGGAAAATTTCTGTGCCAGTTCTCCAGAGTTGGTGGTGACAGCAGTGTCCCATTTTTTTTTTTTGGAAAGGCACTTCTGCTTTACAAACTAAGCTCTGGACAGAAGTGGTAGCTGCTGATTTTCCCAGCTTGCATCTCCCAGTGTAGAACCTTGGACCCAGGCAAGAGGTAGACTACGTAATATTCTCATTCTGCAGTGTCTGGGGTAAATAGTCTACTCCACAAGCATCTTGGGGTGCAGAGGACTTCTAAGTTAGTCTTGCCTGGACTGGGGCTTCTGCAGTACGGAGCTGAGGAGAATGAGAAATGATGCCAGCCTATTTCTCTTGGGAAGATGCAATAGCCCTAAACTGGAGCTGGGGTAAGAGGAGGCTTTGTATTCTGGCTAGTGCTTCTGTCATACAGAGTTGGGGTAGGGGAGGAAGTGAGTTGAGGCCCAGATGCCACAGTCCCTCACTGCTCTTAAGAATTATATTTCTTGGTATGTTTCTCCAGTTAATATTGTCCTTTGGACAACTTCCAATAACTTCAATGGGTTGGTTTGTTTTTAAAACAATTTTTAGCACTCATGGCTGTTTTCCTGGGTCAGGGTCTATGGAGCCCTTCAACTCTGTAAGTTGCAGGCAGCTTCTGTCTAAACCTATCTTAAACAAGTATTCAGAAATATGCAAGGTATCTCTAATATTCTATAAAGATCTTTCATACTGTACTGATTATATCTCACATCGGCCATTTTCAAGGCAAATGAATTCTACAAACTCCATATTATTTCTTGTCTGAAGTATTTTACTACCCTCCTGTCTTACCTTTGCCCCACATCTAATTGAGTTACCTGCTCCTCAGATAAATCTTTAAGTTCCTTGACTATTTACACTGAAAGGCTCTCTAATGTTGGCAGACTAAATTCCAAATGATTTAGCATGCTATGTAAGTCCTCAAATAGTTAGCCCCAACTTCCTAGCTTCATATTTTGCCATTTTTCCAGATTCATCTTACACTCTAAGCATAGGAGACAGCTAGCCCTAACTTGATGAGCAATACCTTCCAAACTTCTTCACTGTGCTCCTATTATGACCTGCCCTTTCTGACTTGTGAATTTCTACTTATTCCTTATTTCCCAGAGACGTGATCAAATAATATCCACTTTATTCCAATAACCTATCGAAGTCAGTAAATTGAGTTGAAAATTAAATCAGTTAGGAATCAATAAATATTTTTGTTATGAATATGTCTCACGAACTTTTTTAGTGTATTTCTGCTTCCATGTGGGGCTCAAAGTTAAAAACCAACATGGATATTTAGTCAGCAACGGCTTTGTAAAAAACAAAACAAAACAAAAACCCTCCAGAAATGGAATCAAAATATTATTAGAAATGAAATTATAGTCGCCATTCTATTTAAAAAAAATAAAACCTAAATTTATATTTATTCTGGAAATTTCTCCTCCAAAAAAGACACTAATTGGACAGTCAATTCTTAATTTTGCAGAAAGATTATATTCAGCCCTCTGGGATATGCATTCTAGAAGAACAAAAAAGAAAAGAGTTTATCACCAAATACTGGTTTCAAAAAGAAAAAAAAGACAAGAAAATTCTGAGGGTATTCCCACCGTGAATGCCTTTTGTATCAAGGAACACTATACTGATATAGGAATAGAAAGAAATTAAAGTGTCAAAAATGTGACACTCAGGGCCAAGAAGATTGCTCAAGTTGGAAAAGTGCCTTGTGCACAAGCATGAAGACCTGAGTTCCAATTCCCAGCAGTCATATAAATGCTGGGCATGTATAACTCTAGCCTTGGGAAAAATGGGTGGTAGGCAGATCCCCAGAGCTCAGTGGCCATCCAGCCTCACAGTCGGGAGCTCTGGATTCAGTGATAGATCCTGTCTCAAAAGATAAGGCAAAAAGTAATAGTGAAAGATACCCAACATCAGTCTCTCGTTTCCACATGTGTACACATGCACATGTACATTCATGCACACATGCATACACATACACTACAACTCAAAAATGTGGTACTAGATGGATACGATGGTTCATACCTACAATCCCAGATAACTGGAGGTTGATGGAGGAAGATTACAAGTTTGAGGCTAGCATGGGCAACTTAGTAAGGCCATCTCTCTCAAAAAAAAATTAAAAGGTCTGGCAATGTAGCCTAGTAGTAGACAGCTTGCTTAGAATGCATGCAGTCCTCAGTTTGATCCCCAGCACCATAAAAAAGTGGTATTATGAACACATTAGGTTACCAAGAAAGACTTGACAATGTTCTTAAAAAAAAATTAAAAGGTCTGGCAATGTAGCCTAGCAGTAGACAGCTTGCTTAGAATGCATGCAGTCCTCAGTTTGATCCCCAGCACCATAAAAAAAGTGGTATTATGAAGACATTAGGTTACCAAGAAAGACTTGACAATGTTCTTAAAAAAAATTAAAAGGTCTGGCAATGTAGCCTAGTAGTAGACAGCTTGCTTAGAATGCATGCAGTCCTCAGTTTGATCCCCAGCACCATAAAAAAGTGGTATTATGAACACATTAGGTTACCAAGAAAGACTTGACAATGTTCTTATTAAATTTATAAACAATAGAATAGGATTGTCTCCATTCCCATTTTGACATCTATAAAGGGAATCATGTGTTACTGTTTTTGTTTCTTTTATTTTTAAATTTTATTTTATGCCTGCATATGTAAGTGCGCCCATGTCGTGCAGTGCCCACAGAGGAAAGAAGATGGCATCAGGTCCCCTAGAACTGGAGTTACAGATAGTTGTTAGCCACCATGTGGGTGCTGGGAATCAAACCTGGGTCTTCTACAAGAATACCCAGTGCTCTTAACTGCTGAGTCATCTCTCTAGCTCCTACTTGTTTTGAGACAGGATCTCCCTATGTAGCTTTGGCTGGCTTGGAACTCACTATGTAGACTAGCTTGGAATTTACTACAAACCTCCTGCCTCTCCTTCCCAAGTTCTGGGATTATAGACAGACATGTGCTACCATATTTTTTATAATTTTACATATCAAGCATCTAAAGCTAATAACAAAACTACTTAAAGAGAACATTATTTAATAATAACATACATATTTAGATTCTAATCCTTAAGGTGTTTTCCTAAATATAATACAGATGCCTAGAGGCAGATGTCTTGTTTAGAATATACTCATAAAGAGCATATGAAGTGGATGACTATAGCTATACTATCCACAGGCTTATCATACGACAATAAGGAAAAACCTTAATGCTTCATTCCTATCTCCCCCATCTTTGGATTAATAAATAATAAAAATGCCTGTCTAAAAATTTACCCCAGGTTTCCTGGTTCTCATTTCAAAAGAATATTAGTTAGTACTCCAAATTTCTTTCTCAATGTAACGAGATAATGCCACAACTTCAAAAAGTCATTTATCTGAATAAAATTTGTATAATTCCATTGTTTCTAATGTGCTTCTTTGGCATATTGTGTTCTTTCCAATACCTTTGGAGAAGCTATGTGTGCTAGAGTAGGTGCTCCATGCTAGGGGCATGTAGTACTTCTTGTACTGACCTGAGGCAGTCATTTGTGCTAGGAACAGCAGGTACACAGAAGTAGCATCCAACTGCAGGTGTCCCCACTGGTCATCACCCACTACAGTGGCGCAAGTTTTGGTGTTGTACTTGGCATGGAGGCTATCCTTAGTGCTCTGACTGTACTTAAAGGACTCTACTTTATCAACCTATAAAGAAAACAGCACAAAAAGGGCATTCAGAAAAATCAACCCCATGCCTCGTTTGCCTACTGCTGTAACATATATCACTGCATTCTGCTTTAGGCAATTGTGACTATTTCAAATATACTGTTACCTCTTTTTCCCTACACTGGGAAAATATATTATTATTTTTATTAAGAAATGTAATTATAAAATAATATCAAATGACCAAAATACCTATTCCTTGCTCACTGCCTCTTTATGCTACCGATGGTTGCTTTTCTACATTGTGGATAAACTGAACTTTCAAACGTGTAAGAATAGCTTACTAGCCATGGTGGCGCACGCCTTTAGTCCCTGCACTCAGGAGGTAGGGGCAGGTGGATCTCCGTGAGTTTAAGGCTAGTCTGGTCTACATAGTGAGTTCCAGGCCAGCTCAGGCTTCAGCTTACTAAGAGATAACTCAGCATTACACATTTGTTCCTGAAATTTTCAGATAAATTAGGACAAAAGTGTGCGTGTGTGTGTGTCTGTGTCTGTGTGTATGTGGACGCCTATGGAGACTAGAACAGGGCATTGGATCCTCTGGAGCTGCAGTTACGGGCAGCTATGAGTCACCTGATGTGGGTGCTGGATGGGAACCAAACTTATGTCCTCTGGAAGAGCATTAAGCACTCTTAAAGGCTTAGCCATCTCTTTAGCTCCAAGAGTATATATTTTGAAGATACCATGATTAGAGGTAATGAGAGATATACAGAGTCACAGTGATAAGGTATTTCAGAAACTAAAGATTAGGAAGGAATCACTGGGAGCTGGGGTATAGCTCAGGGTAATGTGTGCTTAGTAAACATGAGGACATAGGTTCAATTTCCAACATCCCCTAAAAAAGTCTGGAGAGGAAACATTGGGTAAAAAGCAAATTAAAGTTCTTGAAATGTAGATGCTATTACTTATGCCTCTTATGTATGATAGTAATCATTATACCTTAAGGCAGAAAATATAACTATCTAAATAATACTATATAAATACTATAATACTATATACATAAAGTAGCAAAGACAGGGAGAGAAATATGTGAGACAGCCTAGTAAACAGTGATATATAATAAATAATTGTATGTACAGTAATGATGGAAAATATTTTAAAAAACATTTGTAGACAAGGAACTTCAGAAGTTGATATCTTTCTATTTTAGATGTGTTGTATGCATGGTGAGAGTCCCTTTACGAACCTGGGCCACAATTTCTTCTAATGAAACAATCTTGACTCTCACATAATTTAAGACAGATTCAACAGGTACAACATGTTTTAAGATTTCCTAGGATAAAACAGTTTTTAGTTAACTACTTTTGTATGGAGAAAATACCATAAACTCAAAGGATAAATAGTAGACTGTAAAAGATATTTGTGATACCCATGACAAATGTTTAATGTCCATAAGGTATAAGAACTCAGCAGGCAAGAAAGAGGCAACCTAAAAAGAAACAGAAGCAGAGGATCTAGTGGGCAATTCATTAATAAGGAAGTACAAATTCTCAGTTCATATATAACAGGATGTTCAATTTCACTCATGGTCAGAGAATGCCAGTTCCTTGAAGTCCAAAACCTCTTGTCTCCAATCCTATAATTGAAAATGCTTTTCAAAGAACTTTTTCTATCTAAATTTTACACCAAAATTCATTTGGTGGAAACACCAAATTCAAACTGATGTAGGGCTATTTAGAGTGTAGTACATTTAGTATGAAAACATCTGTCTCTTTACAAAGAGATTTTTGATTGCAGAGTTTTTTTTCCTCTATCCATGCAAGACATGACAAAATATATGGTATATATACTATAATGCCTTTTAGAAAATCTGAAAAATACTTAGTTCTTGAACTGATCTGGCCCCAAGAGTTTCAGATGAGGTGTTTTTAGACCTGCATCATCTTTTGCCCACTGCACAGAATTGCATACAGAGTAATGATTTTTAAAAAGTCACTTATAAAGAGAGGAAAAGACTGGATGGATGTATTCCAGTGGTAACAGGGTGGTGAGTCTATGTGTGATATCCCCACCCCTGAGTTCTAGACTTTCTAAAGTTAGAGTGTAATATTTATGAAACTGAATAAAAGGCTGTAAGTACTATCAAGATGTTGTCATGATGTTTTATTAGAGAAGTTGTTACCAGTGCCATACCTGTCTGATCATGCAGTGCAGCAGTCCCCTCATTAGCTTCACTACACTCTGCAGAAATAAATGGAAACAAGACTGTTAGAAACATGCTGAGACACAAGAACACTTACTCAGCAACTTTAATTGGTACATGACCTTTTGAGAACAAGTAACCCTATCCTGGGTTCTATTTACATGGCATTTACTTTATAGGTACACAGAAAAACAGACTGCAGCTAAAAGTGGAATCAAAAACTATAGTTTATGATTCCTTTGAGTTAAGAAATAATCCAAGTTTGGCCGGTTTACATAAAAATAAGCCAACCATTCTAGTAGCGAACAATCCAGCCGGAAAAAAGGAATATGTCAGTTCATAAGGCTGTAAGGAGACTCTAACAAATATCCTACAGCCTAGAAAGACCTCACATCATCACTTCTGTCTTTTCTGAACCAGTCAGGACTTAAGATTCCACATAAACATGTATCTGGATATTTTCCTTAAAGAATAAAGTGAATTTCAAGCAAATGTAAAGGGAAATTTTCAGTATGGCTCAATTTTTTCTCTATAAAAAAGTAACAAGTTTCTTAGGTCAACTCATCACTATTATATCACTATTAAATCACAATTTCTTAAGTATTTTGTTTTCCAGTCCTAACACTCAAATCCTGGCATTAACTGTGTACTATATGGTACTAGAAGGGCCCATCAATAGTCACATGAGAGACTGACGAGTAGACTCAGCGGTTAAGAGCACTGGCTGGTTTTTCAGAGGACCAGAGTTTGGTTCTCAGTGCCCACATAGTGACTAACACCTACCAGTATCTCCAATTCCAGGGGATCCAACACCCTCTTTTGGCCTCTGTGGGCCTTGCATGCACAGGTACACTTACATGACAAAATGCTCGCACACATAAAAATTTTAAAAAATGTTAAAAGTGGCATGAGTAAGTAATATGATTTGGAACATCATAGCATAGGATAGCTTCTCCATTTCTCTAAGAAGCTTTCTGTTTCAAAGCTTAGAAGAAATCCAACCAAGTTACTCCAAGGAGTGCTGACTCAGAGGTGGCTTCAGGACACCTGTGAAAACTAATCTTAGGAGACACATCATTCTGCTACTCCTTCAAAACATATTCAAGTGAGACTACAAGCAATGTAGTGGGCAATGATATGGATAAGTACCTATCAAAATATGCTTTGATTCTTTTTTGTTGTTGTTTTTGAGATAGCCTCTCCCTGAAGCCACAGGTGGACTGGAACTCGCTATGTAGACCACAGTGGCCTTGATGTCCCAGGGATCTGCTTGCCTCTTCCTTCCAAGTGCTAGGATTAAATGCATGCCACATCAGGCTAAATTCCAATTCCTAACAAAGCCTTTTGTTGAGGGAAAAGTAAAAATTATTTCCCTTGTAGAACCCCCTTCTTAAGTAATGTCCATGTATAAATGCCCCCTTCACTTACCAATAAAATTTTAAAAAGAACTGACAATTCAGGAACATGTTTTAGTTTGGAAACCTAAACTACATATCATAAAGTAATGGAACTGACCAGAAATGCTACAAGAAAATCTCTATCACCTTCCTTTTTTATATATCTATTTTTTAATTCTAAACATTTTATTTATTATTTATATTTTATGTGTATGAGTGTTTTGCTTACATGTATATATGTGCACCACATGCATAGCCCCCCAGAGGCCAGAAAAGGGTGTTGGATCCCCTGGAACTGGAGCTACACATGGTTGTTAGCCACCATGTGGGTGCTGGTAATGGGAATGTAGCTCAGTGATGAGCACATGCTTAGTATGCTAAGGCCCTGCCTCCCCAGCACAAAAAGAAGCTGAAGGGTACATATAAGCATACCATATCATTTTCTTTCTTATATTAACTAGGGGGTCTGGCACATGACAATTACACAAAAAACAAATATGCTGAATGGGACAAGCCATAAATGATTCAGAAGTTTCAAAAAAAGAAGTTCTGAAAAAGAAGTGATCCATACATAATTCAGTAGGGACAGGGATTGCACAAAAACTGCTGGTCTTTCAAAGTAAGACAATGGCTTAGATTTTAAAGAAACGCTTATATGAAAGAAGTAGCCCATAAAAAAATTAGAAAGCCTGATGTGGTGGCAGGTTGGTCATGCTGGTGCACACTAGAGGGGCTGAGGCAGGAGGACTGTGGGTTCAAAGTCAGCCTGAATTACATAGATAAGCCCTGTCTCAGGCAGAAAAAAAGCAAAGCAAACAAAGAATTGGAGGTAGCAATGTCCATGACTTCCATGAACACAAAATCCAAATAATAGTAAACCTGAAATCAAAAGACCCAGGTTGTATTCATGCCACCATCTAATTCAGCTTCAACTCAGTACAAGCCATTTGTTTACACATTGGGGATAGTAAACCCCAATTCACAAACCACTGTAAGACAAAATACTGCCAATTATGAGGAAGTGTGCTGCACAATGAAAAGTATTTATACCAGAGCTGGGTGTGGCATTAGAATACCTTTAATGCTAGCCCTCAGGAGGCAGAGGCAAGTGGATCTCCATGAGATGGAAGCCAGCCTGGTCTACATGATGAGTTCCAGACCAGCTGAGGCTACAGCTACACCTTGTCTCAAAAAGACCAATAAAAGAAGGAAAGTATTTATACTAAACATTTGTTAGGTATTGTTGATAGAGGAGGATGAAGACACTAACCTGGCTGGGGGCATAAAAGAGGGCAACAGTATGAGACAATACTGAAAAAGTAGGCTAGGACCAAGTCTTACAAGCCTTGCCTAGCAATCCAAAATGTTTGGACTTTGCTTATATGGACAAGAGAGCCACAGAATGACTAAGGAGGATGGAAATCATATAATTTAAGTGCGCTTTTTACAACACTATTAGGTGATAAGGGTTTAGATTATGGTTGAAGAATAAGGAAATATCTAAGTCAATAAATTCTAAGAATTAAGTGTATTTCATTTGCATGAATCAATAAGCAAGAATGACAAGTCCTGCTGTGTAATAAAACCATCATAAGGAGACAAAGTGAAGTTGGAAAGCTGCTGTTGTTTGGTGGATTGCTCTGCTTGATTTTACTTGGAAAAGTGGATTTTCAGACACACCGAGTTTGAGGAGGCACAGGACATGCAGACAAATAAAAACTGGAGCTCTGAATTGAAGTGATACCAGAGTTAAAGACAGAGAGTTGGAAATTACTCTTAGAAAGGTAGTAGAAAAAAATCATGAGAAAAGATGAGAGATGCCACAAAGAGAATAAACTGAGGAAGAAATAGAAGCAAAGGTAAGTAAAGAGATAACTTTATTTGTCTGAACATTTACTTTTCATAGCTATAATACTATATCTAATGCCCAATAAAAAGAGTTTGTAAAAGTATGCATGTATTTAATTCTATTTTCAGTCTAGAATATGGGAGTGAGTTAAATCCGTTCCTTCTTTTTATCTATAAAAAGTTCTCTTGATTTTATGAGAGAGAAGCTAGGAGTTAAAGGAAGGGTATAATTGATTAACAACGTGTTGGAAAAAAATCCACATAGTAATGGCAAGTTGGCAGTAGGTAGAAATTTAATCTGTGGATTAAATACTGGATTAAATCTATGTTCCTTTACTGGTCATAGATAAGTTATTATCATTTTTGGGCACATTAATTTGATCTGCCTGCATATATGAATTACCTAGGTAATTAAAAAATATTGATGCCTCTGGTCATCATTTCCAGATTCTTCTTTAAATTATTTTAAAGTGAGGTTCAATAAGGATTATTCCTGAAAAGCGTTTTAAGTAATTCCAATATACAGCAAGAGTTTTGAATTATTCATCTAGGGTGGGGACAAATTCAGCCCATGGTAGAAAATAAAATTTTATTGGAACATCACCATGCTACTTCTTTACATATCATCTCTGGTTCTTTTGTACCGCACCTATAGAGCTGAGCAATTAGTCAGAGACAAGTGACCTATAGTGTCAAAATATTTATTATACGACTCCTTACCAAGATAGATTTCTGACCTCTGATCTAGATTAACTCGGGTTTTTTTTAATGAAACCTAATAATTAAATTCATTTTGATTCATAAAATAAGTCTATAGAAATTCTAAATTACCACAGAAACTTTCTTTTTTGTAGTTTTTTTACCTATTTCCATGTTTTGAAACATTCCAATGTTCCTAATGTGGTGACATGAAAAATATTTTTCAATTAGGTGAAACGTTATGCAATAGAACATTAATATTTTAGAATTGACAAGCCAGTGTTTCCCTACTTTTCCCTCCTCTTTCCACTTGGGTCAAATAAGGAAATATGTCAACTTTACAGAATGATTGGCCAATAGAGAGTCAACAGATTATTTCTTATAATACTGAAAAACTTGAGTAAATTATACCAGGTATGCAATTCCAGTTCTACTGATAGTAAATTCAAGTAAAACAAAACAAGCAACAAAATACTGAGGCAAAAATAACAAAACATTCAGGATAGGATGGAGGATTGGGAGATTACATGTGGTTTTTAAAAATATGCCTATGTTTTCCAAATTTCTATCATAGTATTATTTATATAAAAGTCCATACTTCCTAAGCTAGAGTAAATCTCTAACAATTTTTTTTATCACTCGATAATGGCTTGAAAGACTTAAAAATGCTTGCTGTCGCCGAGGATAACACCTTGAGATTTGTCCCACTGACAGAAACTGCAACCTCAGAGTATGTTGCTTCTCTTAAGAACAACCAAATCTCAGTATTCTGCTTTACAGATCACGACTGGAGCTCAGAGACCACAGGAGAAAATGACTAGTGTAGAGCAATCTTTCTCACTAAAGGAAAAGAATGCACCTATACTTACAACTAATAACAGAATCCTTCAACATTAAAAGTCCTAGGTTATTCAAATGACTGCTTTCTGAGACATTTAAGAGGATGCAGTTCCCTTTGTGTTCAAAAGTTCTATAAAGGATGCTACTTTACTGAAGGGGAAGTGCCTTAAAAGTTGGCTTAGAGTCATCTGCTGACTCTGACCTCATTCTGTCCCCAGGCAGGTAACAGGTTCTTTGAAATGGTGCCATAGCTATAAAGATCAACAAATAGTCTTTACTTGCATCTAATGTGGAAGGCCTATTGATTTCTGCCAGTTCCATTCATACAAATATCACAACAATTTTCTTTTCTTGTTTTTTTTTTTTTTGGTCTTTTTGAGACAGGGTTTCCCTGTAGCCCCAGCTGGCCTGGAACTTACTATGTAGATCAGGCTGGCCTTGAACTCACAGAGCTCCACCTGCTTCTGCCTCCTGAGTGCTGGGACTAATGGCATGCACCACGATGCCTGGCTCATATCACAATAATTTTCAAAGAATAAGTAAAATAGGAGATATCTGCTCTCAAATAGTCTCCTCAATGAGAATAAAATGGTGAAACCCTCAAAATGCATTAAATGAGAAAGAGGATTGTAAATTTAGACCCGTTTCAGGATAGATCTTTCATGAATACACTGTGCCCTTTTCCCTGAATCAGCAACTTTCAAGTTCCACCACAAAGAAATAGTCACTTCAGTTGCAAAAGGAAAACTTTTTAGAATGTAATTTCAGCAAGGTAAGCAAAAGACTACATTTCTTTCAATTCCTGCTCCCCACTACCACAACCACACATACACCTACATCTCTATATGTTTTGTTTTGAGTACCTGCTCCAGTTCGTAGGCCTTTGCCTTGTCCTCATCACGGTCTGCATTCTTCCGATAGGCCAGCCCCAAACCCCACACAGCCAAGATGCTGTACACATTATCTCGGACCCAGGCATCTTTCTGATCATAGCTTGCTGGAAGCAAGCCTGTCACTGGATTCTGCAAGGTAAAAACAACAACAACAACAACAACAACAAAAAAAAAACAGTACAGGCAGTTAACTTTAGAGTGTTAAAGGAAACAAAATCCATGGAATCATTTACTTGGAAATTTTAGTCTTCTGTTTTCTCATTCTTGAGTTTTATAATTTTTTTGACTAATTGCAGGCAAATACTATCCCCTAGCTTTAGCTATAATTGACAATAAATAATGTACATATTTACAGTGTGCAATATGATGGTTTTATACAAATATTCACTGTGGGTGCTGGAGAGATGACTCAGTAGTTAAGAGCACAGGTTGCTCTTACAGGTGACCCAGGTTAGATACCCAGCACCCACATGGCAGCTAACAACCATCAATAACTCCAGTTCTAGGGGATCTGATGCCCTCTTCTGACCTTCTGACCTCCTCGGGTATTGCATGACACAGGTGCACTTACATACATGCAGGCAATACACTCATATGCATAAAATTAAAATAATAAATAAACTACTTTTTAAAAAGCAAAAAAATTTATTCACTGTGAAACAATTAGCACAACCAAGTTAACACATCCATCACCTCAGACAATGACCCTTCTTCGGAGTGTTGAGGATAGAGGAGATCTTGGCAAATTTCAAGCATACAATAAAGTATTGTTAGTCATCATGCTGGTGCTTATTAGATTCACAGAACACATTATTTTTAAATTCTTTTCTCAATGCATATTTTTATTGAATTTTTGTGCCTTTTACACAATACATCTTTTTTTATTTTGGTGGATTTAAAAATTTTTCTTCTTCGGAGTGTTGAGGATAGAGGAGATCTTGGCAAATTTCAAGCATACAATAAAGTATTGTTAGTCATCATGCTGGTGCTTATTAGATTCACAGAACACATTATTTTTAAATTCTTTTCTCAATGCATATTTTTATTGAATTTTTGTGCCTTTTACACAATACATCTTTTTTTATTTTGGTGGATTTAAAAATTTTGTAATAATCAGATACATACAGATTAGAGATGCATGTGCCAACATCTAAGCATTATTAGCAAAAACAATGAATATTTCTGTAAGAAACAGTATATTTTAAAATGAAATGGAGATCTTCTTTAAAGGGTAAAAACTCATTCAATTTTATGCCTTACAGGGTTTATACTTAGTTCATTATTACATGACTGTATAACTGTGAACCTAAAAATTTACAGCTCTGGAATGTGTTACTGAATATGTTAAAGCTGTAATGAAATGCTTCTTCTAAAACAAAAAACTTGAAAATAAAAAAAATTCATGTATATGAGCATATTGTCTGCATGTAAGTGCACCCATGTTGTGCAGTGCTGGAGAAGGTCAGAAGAGGGCATCAGATCCCCTGGTACTGAAGTTGCAGACAGTTGTCAGCCACCATATGGGTACTGGGAACCAAACCTGGGTCCTCTGCAAGAACAGCCAGTGTTCTTAACTGCTGAGCCATCTCTCCAGCCCTCACACAATGCATCTTAATCATAATTAGACACCCTCCCCGTTCTGTACCCCCCATTTCCCCACACACACTGGATTTCCTGCATTCTGTCATAAGCCTACTGAGTCAAGTGAGCATATTCTTTTTTTACTTGAAACATAATCTTTTTTTTTAGCATATTCTTTTTTTAATTGAAAGTTTGTTCTCTTTACACATGTTGCCCTGAGAATAAGGAAAAGGACTGACTGAAAGTTAACAAGCCCAGAGTGAGGCCTGGTGGAGCCTGCTTCCCTGCCCTAGGGAAGGAGAGGTAGGTGTATCTCTGTGACTTCAAGGCCAGCGAGGTCTTCATAGTGAGTTCCAGGTCAGCTGGAGCTACAGGGAGACCCTGCCTCAAAATACAAAAAAAAAGGAAAGAAAAAAAGAAAGAAAAATTTGGAGTTTACAAGGCTAAAGTGTGGGCATTATATTTTAAAGGCATTATTACAGATATTACTAAATGTATTATTTTTGAATATTTTATTATTTTTATTTTATGTGTATGAGTGTATTGTCTGCATGTATGTGAGAGCACTTGTGTCGTGCAATGCCGCGGAGGTCAGAAGAGGGCGTTGGATTCCCCTGGAACTGGAGTTAAGGAAAAAATTTTAACTTTTGAGTTAAACTCAACTACCAATGAAAAACCACCTACTCCTTTCTAAAGTAGAAAATATGTAATTAAAAGTATACACAGGCTGGCTGTGGTGGCACACACCTTTAATCCCAGCACTCAGGGAGGCAGAGGCAGGTGGATCTCTGTGAGATAGAGACCAGCTTGGTCCCCATAGTGAGTTCCAGGCCAGCTGGGGTTACAGGGAGACCCTGTCTCAGAAAACAAAAACAAAAACAAAACAAAAAGTAATATAGCCAGGTGTGGTGTGTCATGCTGGTGATTCCATCACTCAAGAGGCTGTGGTAGGAAGACTGACACTAGTTCAAGGTCAGCATTGGCAACTGAGTGCCAGGCCATCCTGGGCTACAGAGTAACACTGTCTCAAAGCCAAATCAAACAATTCCCCCAAACTGTATACAAGCGAGGAGAAGTGGTGCACACCTGAAATTCCTGCACTGGGGTCAAGTGTGAAGATGGTGAGTATGGCTACACGGTGAGACCCTGTCTCAAACAATGAAACAAACAAAATAAAACAAAAACAGCTAAAGAAAGAGCTAACAAAAAGCGCGTTTGTTCAAGCACTCAGGAGGCTGAGGCAGGAGGATCCCAAGTTCAAGGCCAGCCTGGGCCACTGAACAAAACTGTTTAAACAAAAGTATACACACAGTGCCCTGACCTTCCTACAGTCCTAAGGTCTCTTGGGATGGCTAAATGGTCCCCTATCTCTTTGGAGAAAGAAAACTGGAAGGAGATGTGGCCCAAACTTGAGGGGGTGCAGGTGTCAAGAAACAAGTGTCAACACCTCTTGCAACTCTGCTCTTAGAACCCAGCAGTGGCCTGAGAGGTGACCACAGGGTTCAGAAACCATCTCTCAGGGGATCACTCCATGCGGTGGAGGTCTTGGCTATCCATGCCACACTCTGGGTTCTGTTTCCGGTTTGACACCTAATATTTCATCAGGGTCTTTTAGGGCCTCCCCAGCTAAAGGAGCAGGAGAAACACACATGCGCTCTGTGCAGCCGGTCACACCTCACTCTTGCCTACACTTACCTGATGGCACAGGATGGTCTGATGCACCAGCCGAGCATAGCCATCCAGGCGGACCCCCGAGTTACTCCGGCTCCTCATCGCGCCACGTTTCGAATGCCCTCCGAGCGACCGCCGCTGTTAGAGGAGGCTGCGACTCGCGCACTGGGGAAGCAGCGCGCCAGGCCTGCTAAGCCTTTTCCACCGCTCGCTCCGGCGGCCGGCGGGTCCTGCTGGCGCTGCGGCTGATTCCCGAATCCACCTCACGCGGCTGCGGCGCAACCGGCTGCCGCCCACAGCGGTCCAGTCGCCACTCTTAGGCCCTCGTGGCCTCGGAGCGCCGCTCCCGCATCCTCTGTTCCCATCCCCGAGTCCGAGGCACCCCGAGGCTCAGGCTGAGGACAGCCGCGGGTCAGCGGCACCGCCTCCTCTGGCGAGCACTCGGAGGCGGGACGTGAGTCCTGCAGCTGCGCGCTGCGCTCACCCGCTCGCCGCGGGCCCGCCCTGAATGTGTGCTCTCCCCGGGTTATTTTCGAAACATTTTCACTAACTATTTTAATTTTCCCCACGTGCCCTTTCTTTTTACTGCTGGGGGGAGCGGGGAGACTAGCTTCACGAAGGTCCGGTAACTTCAAAACCGAAAGGAAAGACGAGTTTGGGCTCTAGGTCTAAACATTCGATTTCCGGGTCTTTATTACATTTTTTATTTTGACTAAACGGTCAGATTAAACCCTGCACTCTGAAGCCAAACCACAAGGAGCGCCCCTGGGGCCCTTTCCTTTTTAGAGACGGGGTCGCCGGGCTTGGAAAGGCAGCCACAGTTGGGCACTTGGAGGAAGCGACTGTCACAGGCGGGGAGCGAGCCGCGCGCAAGGATGGCCTAGGGCAGGCAGGACAGCTGGCGGTCGTGGGCCTGCTTTGGAAGGTTTTCCCCGTGGGCGCAAGAAATGAGCCTGAGACAAGGAATTCGCTGAAAATAAAGGGTGTGAGGGGGATGGGGAAGAAGCCTTCAGGACACAGGGTGCCCTGGCCTCCGGGAATCCGGCCCTTGGAGGCGGTCCCAGGTCCTTGGCTTCCTTAGTCTACTGTCCCCACCCCCACTACTTGCTCTCTGTGTTTCCAAACCCTGCACCCCTCTCAGGGCTGAGCTGGAGTACCACCTGCTCTCTGAATTGCGGGGTAAGAGAGTAAGACTGGTTGACCTTTCAAGTTCTAAATCTAAGCCTTCCCTGACCGAGGTACCTCGCTCAGGCCACAGTGATTTTGCATTTTCGTTCATTTCCCCACCTAATTTTCGTCTCTCCTTACAAACTCCGTCTGTACCACCACTGCCGCCACTGCCGCCTATTTCTGACCCTATATAGCATATAGGCAGGAGAGTAGCAACTATTTGCTAATGATGATGAAGGGGAAGTGCTCAGAACTGGGACTTTCAGATTAAACAGCCAGTCAATGATGCAGTTCAGTACAGTGACACGGAATTCTCAAGCAAATAGTTTCCATTGCAGTCACTACCTACGCAAATGCAAGTGACTGGCAAATCAGCCACTTCAAGTCCTTAGTGCACAGGGAAAGGGAGTTCACTTTGGAGAGAAGATCCTTCCTGTGTCCCTAACTCCTTGTCCTCTTTAAGTGTGTGCCCTGTTTTGTCTTCATCTCAATATCATTTAGACGCATTCTCAAAGTAATATACACTCACTAAAGAAAACTTGGAAAGTACAACAAAGTAAAACAAAATATTGAAATCACCTATAATCCCTTCACACTACTATTAATATTTTAATTCATTTTCTACTCTTTATATTTCTTCAGCATAAACCTCCCCTCAGCTGGTTACTTTAAAATATAACGAGACTGAGACTATCAGAGGCGAGGTATCACTTAGAAAGCTAGTTGTCGGGCTATCAGGAGACCTTGTTGGATAGCATGGCCTTCGTGCTTTCAACCTCAGTCCAGTTTGGACTTTCAGTCTTGTACTCTCAGAAACTTGATCTGCTCAGTGTCCCAGAACTGGTAAGACTCAGGAAGCTGACTCATGCTGAGTATCTCACAAGAACTTGCTGCATGAAAACCAGAATGCTGTTTGAGAATGAAATCTAGAACTGTAACACAGCTTATGTTAGCCTGGCCACTACATCCCCTTCCTTTAGTAAGTTGTAACCCTTATTACATACCAGGTGCTATTTTTTAAAATTTATTTTACATAATGACCACACAACAAGTAGTGGGTTTCATCGGAACATATTAATAAACCAATCTCAAAGGTAGAGAAATTAAGGTACATGAACAATAACTAGTTGAGGATGTGATCTTCCATGTTGGTTTCACTGACTCCCTGTTATCCATGTGTCTCTGGCTCACTGATACATCCTTCTTTCTAGATATCAACATTGTCAATCAAATTATAACTGTCTCGTTAGCCTGAAAGTCACAGATTCTTTTTTAAATTATTGCCATGTAAAAGTTGCACATATTTATAGGGCATCATGTGATATTTTAATACATGCATACATTATGCAATGTTTAAATTAGGGTAAACATATCTGTCTCCTCAAACATTTATCATTTCTTTGTGGTGAGACATTCAAAATCCTTCTAATTTTTTGACATATGCAGTGCATTATCCTCATCTATAATTACCCTACTTGCAATAGAACCCTAGAACTTCTTTCTCCTATCTACCATCAATTTAGTACCCCTTGTCTCTATTCTCCCCTATTCTCCTTAGCTTCTGGTAGCTACCATGCTACTCTCTGTGGCATCACAGTTTTATATTCACACATATGAGTGAGATCGTGTCATACTTGTCTTTCTGTGCCTGGATCATTTCACTTAATGTCCTCCAGTTCCACCCAAATGTTGCCACAATGAGAGAACACAATGGCTGTTCTAATTTATATTCCCATCACCGTGGCACAGTGTTCCCTTTCCTCCACATCCTTGCCAGGACATTATGTTTCTTGAACATGCTTTTTTTTTCTGTTTGATTCATTGTTCATTCATTTTATAGTTTAATTCTGAAATAACGTTTTATTTCACAATTTCTAGGAACATTTTATTGTTGCTCCTTTAACCTACTTAGAAGTCTCAGACATACTGACTTTAAACCTTCACACCATGCAAATATTTCTCATTGTTTCATATTTTATATTAATGTCTATATTAATCTTTCTTCTACTGTATGTTCTACATTTTGCTTGGCTACTCTTTTATTTCTACTAATATTATTATTACATTTCTTTTTAGAGAGCCCGTAAACTACTTTCTTTCTATCATTTCTGATTCAAACTTTAAAAATTATTTTTGTCTTTTTGAGATATGGTCTCCCTGTAGCCCTAGCTGGCCCGGAACTCACTATGTAGACCAGGCTGGCCTTGAAGTCACAGAGATCCGCCTGCCTCTGCCTCCCGAGTGCTGGGATTAAAGGATTTTTTAAAATATACAAATATTTAGGGGCTGGAGAGATGGCTCAGTGGTTAAGAGCACTAACTGCTCTTGTTGAGGACCCAGGTTCGATTCCCAGCACCCACATGGCGACTATGAACCGTTGTTAACTCCAGTTCCAGGGGAATCCAAAGCCCTGTTCTGACCTCTGCAGCATTGCACGACACGGGTGCATTCAGTGGCTCACACCTTTAATACCATCAGGGAGTCAGAGGCAGGAGGATCTCAGTGAGTTCAAGGCCAGCCTGGTCTACATAGTGGGTTCCAGGCCACCTGGAGCTACAAGGAGACCCTGTCTCAAAAAGACTATATATATATATATATATAAAATATGAGCATACTCTCCATAAAAAGTTGCAATATTATATCTAAGGTTAAATTCTCTGTTTAGTGCCTCTTAATTCCCCTTCCCAAAGGTAGCTATCATTATTGCATTGATAAATATCCTTCCAAGTTGTTTTTGAAGGATTTACATATGTACATACATACAGGCAGACATTTATAGACATAAGCATATAAAATATGCAGTATTGTTTCTTTTGTATTTTAAATTTTTATCATTTATTTATTTTGTGTGTGTGCATGCATGTCCCCCCTTGTGTGTGTGAGGATACCAGAGGTTGAAGTTGGTTGTTTTTCTATGATTTACCATCTTATATTTTTAAAAAATATTTTATTTTTATTTTATGTAGATGGGTGTTTTGCCTGCATATATGTAAGTGTACCACGTGTGTGCATTGCCCTGCAGAGGCCAGAAGAGGGTGTCAGATACCCTGGAACTGGAGTTATGGACAGTTGTTAGCCACCATGTGGGTGCTGGGAACCAAACCTGGGTCCTCTGAAAGAAGAGCAAATGTTCTTAATGGCCAAGACATCTCTACTGCCTCATTTATCAGCTTATGTTTTGAGACAAGGTCTCTCATTGAAGTTGGAGCTCACTGTTCTCCACCTGTTTCCTTCCCCTGCCCCCGCACTGGTATTACAGTTGACCACTGCCACATCTGGCTTGTATGTGGGTGCTGGGGATCTGATTTCCGAGTCTCATGCTTGCATAGACTTTACCCTCTGAGCCGTTTACCCAGCCCCTCGTATTTTTTCCATTTTATGAGATGAGGTTTCAGACACTCCATACTGCCCCCGAACTTCCTGAGGTGCCTTGGACTCTTGATTGTCCTGCCTCTACTTCCCATGTGCCAGGACTGCAGGTATGCACCATCATGTCTACTGTTTCTTTTAATAGTAATAGTGTTATCCTGCACTTACATTTTACAGCCTGTCTTATTCTCCCTAAATAATGTCATGATGCTCTAGTGTGGTTATTACATAGAGACCTACTTCAGGCACTATGGTATATGTAAACATTTCTCTGTTGAAGAACCTTTGATATTTGTTTTCAAGTTGGAAGACTTGAAAATGGTACTTTAGTGAACATGCATATGTTTTCTTGTGAATGAATACAGGTATTTTGGAAATAAGTATTCAAAATTTAATACAGCCACAAAGACATTGAAATCAACTACACCAATGAAAGTTTCCATGTCTCTATTCTTACTAGCACTTCCTATTATTGTTTTGAGTAATCTGATGGGTGCAGAATTGTATCATATTGTTACTTTGATTTCCCTGGATATTAATGTCTTTGATCATTTTTGTATGCTTATTTGATTTAATTTAATTTATTTATAATATCTTTATTTTATTTAATTTCTTCTTCTGGTGAACAAATGTTCAAATATCTAGTCATTTTCCTATTGGACTATCTGTCTTTTCCCTATTGAGTCATATATAAGAAAACTTTAAATTACATATTCCTGAATTTTAAGTGTTTGTGTGGGTGTGTGTGGGTGTGTGTGCCCAAGGGCAACATTGGGCATCTTTCCTCAGTTGCTCTCCACCATTGTTTTCTGAGACAGATTCTCTCACTGAACCGGAAGCTCATCATTAGGCTAGGCTGGCTCATCAATGAGCTTCAGAAATCCACCTGT